ACTGATGATGTTCCCTAGTTCAGTAATGAAATATCTGCAAGAAAACAACCAAGCTCAAAGAACACCCCACAGTCCTCCTCTTCCTCTTTTCTGCTTCTTCCTCCTCCTCCTCCTCCTCCTCTCTGCAAACTCCACTCCTGATGATGATGTTACCTAGTTCAGGAATGAAGCAAGAAAACAACCAAGCACCCCACAATGATGTATCTGAGTCTTTTTCACACACAACATATGGGTTAGTGATTGCGGTTCTAGTCTGGTAGCCTCTGGAAAAGGGCCGTGCCAACTTCTCTATTGAGAAGTCTTCCTCAGGTGACAGGCAGAGGTGGTATTCAACCGGTTCACACCAGTTCACGTGAACCGGTAGCACTGCTTTGCCATGGGTCGCCCATGTCATCCACTTGCCCCAATTGCTCTCCTAGCTTTCCCTACCATGTGGCAGCCACAGTGCAGCTCGGGCAGATGTCCTTCAGCTGCTGCACATGCGCACTGCGTGTGCATCTGCTACACATGCAGTGCGCATGTGCAGCAGCCCCGGGACATCCAGCAACCTGCTCGCCCTCCCGGAGCACACTTTCTTCTTTCTCCCGGCGGACACGCCTTTTCCAGCCCAGCCCGGTCCGGCAAGCCAGCAAGCCAACACCCCCTTGTTGCGAGATGCCTGCAGCTGCTGCATGTTTTTTTCGGTGCAGCTGGAGTCCAGCCCCACCCAAAAAAGCATGCCGCCTCTTTCGCAGCACAAGAAGCCTCCCCAACAAGCTGGCTGCTCTTTTCCTCCTCGGCCATACAGAACAAACAGGCAGAGAAAGAGGAGAGCAGGCAGACTCGGCAGACATTCGCGATCTTTGGTTGTGCTTTTTTTTTGTCAGCCCAAGGTCAGAGGGGGAGGGAAGGTATGTAGGAAATCACCCTGTCTCTGCAGCATCGGTCATGTGACTGAGTGGGCGTGGCCCAACTTGACGTCACTTTCATCAAGGTGACGCAATGACCACCAAGCCACACCCACAGAACAAGCCATGCCCACAGAACCAGTAGTAAAAAAATTTGAATCCCACCACTGGTGACAGAGGAAAAGTTGTGAAGTAAACAGGACTATCCTAAAAATGGCATCTCACCCATCCTTCTATCCCCCTCCACCCCCAGTCATCAGAAACTGATGAAGCTCCTGGAATGAGAAGCAAAACATGTTTTTCTTCTTCTTCCTTAAGGTTAAAAACAGTCCTTCCTTAAGGTTGAAAAAGCACCTTTGAGACAACTATGCCCTCGATGACTGAAAATCTCCAGAGATATAATAGAATTTAAAAATTGTCTTCGGAAAATCTTTTGATTTAGGGGCCACCTCCAAATTCTGAAGGAGAACCCTTCATAGATACAAACTCAATACTCAAAAAAACTCAAAAACATGGAATACTCTACCTGACTCTGTAGTTTCTTCCCAAAAAACCCCAAAAACTTTAATTTTAGACTGTCTACTCACCCCATTCCTAAAAGGTCTGTAAGGGGGCTTGCATAAGCACACCAGCGTGTCTACCGTCCCTGTCCCACTGTTCCCATTTTATTCGTATCCATTTCATGTATTAATAATCATGTTCATACTTATATCTGTGATCTAACACATGCTAGACAAAATAAAGAAATAAAAATAAATTAAAACCCTATATTTGTGGAATTCATCCTAGGAGAGCATTTATAGCGCATGCGAATGTGGCCGATATATTGATTTTTGGAAAGGAGCATAATTTTCAAAGTTTGGAGTTGTAGGGGTGCTACATAATCCTCTTCCAAAAACTCCACCCCCAACTAGGGCCAAAAGATGTTCTGCATTTTAAGACGTTCTTTCTAACACAGCCAGGAAACGTCTTATCAGTTTCAGCAAGGGAGATGCTCTCTCCAGAAGTGTGCTAAACCAAGTTCCAATTTGAGAATCATTTGCAGATAGTCCTCAACTTACAAATCATTCATTTAGTGACCGTTCAAAGTTACAATGGTACTGGGGGGGAAAAGTGGTATGACTGTTTTTCACGTACCCATGGCAGCATCCCCATGATCACATGATGACTATTCAAACATTTGGCAACTGGCATGTACTTATGACGGTTGCATTGTCTCAGAGTCATATAATCCCCTTTTGCAAACTTCTGACATCAAAGTCAATGGGGAAGCCAGTTTCACTTAATAACCGTATTACTAGCTTAACAACTGCAGTGATTCACTTAATAACTGCAGCCAGAAATGTTGTAACATGAGGCAAAACTCACTGAACAAACAGTCGTATGTCGCCTTTTTCAGTGCCATTGTGACTTAGAATGGTCATTAAATGAAGGGTTGAAAGTCAAGATCTACCTCTTATTATTTATTTTGTTAGTAAAAGAAGAATATCTCAATAAAGGGGGTTATATTTTTTGTTGTTGTTCTCTTTGCAGTACTTCCTATCTGATGCAGAATTTTTTGATATCTTTGGGAAGACAAAAGATGCATTTTACCAGATGCCTACATGGAAACAGCAAAACGAGAAGAAACAACTCGGATTGTTTTGAACAAAGGGACGGATAGTTGGTGACACCTGAAAACAGGATTGTTTGCAAGGCAGGGCACAAAGGTTAAGATGGGGCCACAAATTTATCTTAGAACTGTCAATGCAGGTAAAAAATTGATGGAACTTTGATCGCTCGGTGGCTATACCATCTTGGCTGTTTTGACTTCCTGACTCAGAAAGAAGATGGATCTTGGAAGAGAGTTTCCCAAATTTCAAAAGGACAATTTTAAAAATAAAGTCTTCTAGAAATCTGTATGGTCAACAATAATCTTAATGAAAATGATTTCCTAATTTTTCTCAACTGAGAAAACAGTAACTTCCCCGTCCCCACTACAAAATTGTTCCATTATTTGCATAAGAAATACATGAAGGTTTCTCTCAATTGTTGTTTATTTTTTTAAAAAATATTTTATTTAGGTGTTCTACATAAATGGAAGCAAAATGAAGCCATTGTTTGGGGGATGACTGGCATAAAGAGATAGTTGCATCATTGTATGTGAAAATATTTGACTTTCTACATGTCTGAAATTGGGGTGGAATTGGGAGAAGTGAAATGCACTGAGTAAAACTCAAGACATATTTTTAGATGCCAAACAGAAATATGGAAAGGACTCAGAAACCTGTAGTTAGGTGATAATACATATCCTTGGTCAGTTTTGCACATACAGATAGTTCTTGAGTTATGACCACGATTGAGCCCAAATTTTGTGTTGTTAAATGAAACATTTGTTAAATAACTTGGTCAAAATTCAAAATTGGTGGGATTCAAATTTTTTTACTCCTGGTTCTATGGGTGTGGTGGGGAAGGATACTGCAAAATCCCCAAATCCCCAAATTCTTGGTGGGCGTGGCAGGGGAAGGATACTGCAAAATCCCCATTCCCTCCCCACCTTACTAACCTGCTTTCCAGCTCCATTCTCCTGTGCAAGGCGACCCAGGAGACCCAGCCAAAAGAAGATCAGCTGGGACTCGGGAGGCAGAGAATAGATGGGGCGGAGCCAGTCAGAGATGGTATTCGGAACTACTCAAAATTTCTGCTACCAATTCTCCAGAACTGGTCAGAACCTGGTCAGAACTGGTCAGAACCACCTCTGCTTTTGCCCCATTTTATGACCTTTCTTGCCACAGTTGTTAAGTGAATCACTGCAACATAAGTTGTTAAGTGAATCTGGCTTCCCCATTGAGTTTGCTTGTAAGAAGGTCACAAAAGGGGATCACATGACCCCGGGAACACTGCGACCGCCGTAAATATGAGCCAATTGTCAAGCGTCCAAATTTTGATCACATGATTACGGGGATGCTACAAAGGTTGTAACTGTGAAAAACGGACATATGTCACTTTTTCGGTGACTTGAACTGTCACTAAATGAATTGTTGTAAGTTGAGGACTATCTGAAAAGGTAACATCAAGTCTCTCAAATTCATTCCATACAAATCGTGGTTAATTCATTCTCTCTCATTCTTACAAAGCCAAATTATTTTTCTTTAAATTATCTCCCTGGGTACTGGAAGCCATAACCCAGGCTGTGGAGAGTCAGACGCAACTTAGCGACTGAACCACAAAAGTTCAAAGGTCACTTTTATTAAGAGTGTAGTATGGCTTAATCAATCCTTTTGCACCTTTCTCTGGCCATGTAATGGTGAAATTAGCTGACTTGATCCCATGAGGATCCTATTGGATAATTCATCTTCCAACAATATTTCTCAACCTCAGCAAACTGAGAATGCATGGACTTCAACTCCCAGAATTCCCTGGCCAACACACTGCCTGGGGAATTATGGGAATTGAAGTACCCTCATCTTCCAAGTTGATAAGGTTGAGATATACTGGTGTAATGGAAGTCACTGAATTTCGGCGGATCGTGGGGTTGATTTTCTGGAGTGCTGTCCAGGATATCATTGATATATATGATCCTGAGTCCACTTCCATCGGCCACATATTTCCATCAATCTTCACTTCTGTGAGGAATTTGTCACATTCCATAGTACCTGTGTGTACTACACGAGTGTGATTGTAGCCACCTATTGTGTGGTGTGTTTCTTCTTCCCGGCCGCCATCTTGTCTTTTAAATTTCGCGCCAAATGTCTTCTGACTCTTGTAATGTTTGTTCGGGGAGTATGTTCTTCGGCTTGGAGTGTCAGCCGGTTGGCTGGCTCTGCAGGTGTCCGCAATGTGGCCTTTTCTCTCGCATCGCCTGCAGATCACTTCTTTAAAACGGCAGGTGGAGCGAGGGTGGTTTCCCTGGCAGTTTCCACATGGTTTGCTCCCCTTTCCATTTTCGGATTTACTGGTTCTTACCCGATGAACATCCTCCTTTTCGCTGTCGCTGCTCTCGGAGCCGGATTCTGTTTTCATCCCATTCATTACCAAACTCTGGTTGAATCTTCCCATGTATGAAGACCACTTCTCTTTGGCTGGGTCGAATGGGATGGATAGGGATCGATGGGCCATGTTGGTTCGCTGTCGGTCTGAATGGTCAGCTGGAAAATGGTTGCGGTGCCCCGCGAGGTCCTTTGTCTTCCTTAGTATCCCACCTTTGTTGCCATTGTTAGATAGGTGTAGCAAGGAGGGAACGGACCAGCAGTGTAGAGAATTCTTTATTTCAAACTGGTTAAAAAGCAAAAATTGCAGCCAGCGCTGGCTTTTTATAGTCGGTGTCGTCCAATACTTCGGCCACTGATGGATCTCCGATATTCCCGCCAGTGGCTGAAACCAATAAGTGGAGTCTGACATCAGACTCCACTTTGCACCTGACGTGGATGACGTGGTATATGTAGATGTAACGTCATGCATATTTAACAATATCCTTGTCTGGACGACTGGTAGGGAAAAACCCAGGCGTATCAACAACCACAACCTTCCTGCCATTCAGCTGCGCCTCCTCCTTTTGGCATGTTTTTGTTACTGACCAAAGGGCCCACCCAGACTCAAAAACTTCCCTCCCCATGACTGTGTTTCCCGTCACACTTATCCCAGTTCCGGTTCTGCCCACCAGGATGATCCTCTGTTCAGGCCCTGCAACCCAAAGGGGAGAGGAGCGAAAAAGGGTCAACAGCATATGGCCATCGTAGCCTGTCCCTCCACCCAGGACAACGACTTCCACCTCCTCTACCCACCCATCCACCCCCAGAGGCCAAGACTTTACCTGGGATGCCTCCAGTCATTTCCAGATACATCGCACAGCACAAAAGCCGGGGATTTCTGCATGAAAAGCAAACCAGAGTCAGACAAAGGAGAGGCTGCCTGGCAGGAAGGTTGCAAGGAACTCCCCTCCCTCAAAAGACACAGGGAGGAACTGGAGGGGGGTAAAGAAGGGCCACCCCCTCCTCACTGCCCTTGAGGCTGACCCCTCTGATCTTTTCCCCACCCCTTTTTTATGCAGCCCTTCAATTCTTGGAGTCCTGCAATTTGGGGATTTCAGGAACGGTGGGCTTGATGTCGGAAGTGGCAGTTCTCCACAGCCAGCTCCGTTCTGGAAGGGACCCTGTTCTCTGGACCTTTGTCTGCTCTGCTGCAGCCCTGCAGGTGTCAGACTATTCTACTCCCCCCCTCCTCCCCCTGCAAATTACCTCAGCAGGTCTCCCGATAGAACAGGTGCAAGTGATTGCCTCGCTCCATTGATCGAGCACTTCTTGAGTCACAGCTGCACATCGGAATTGGTACTGAAGATTTAGGTGGACATCTTCCAGGGTGAATTGATCCTTAGGGCCTTCTTGTTGAAGACTTTTCCAATTGTCTCCTGGAATCCGATACTCCACCTGGTATCTGGAGACTGAAGATTTCCCGATGGCTACTGGATTAATACTTATCTGGAAACTATTTGGGTGCACTTGCTCAACCTTAGGAGGGGGAGGTCTTCTAAGAAAAGCTTCCAGCTCCTGATGTTCCTTGAGGACCTCCAGGGTCAAGGTTAAACTTTGGTTTCCAGCATCCTTAATGAGTCAAAGAAATCCTTCATGTTCTCAGTGCTCATTTTCCAGGACATTTCAGCAGCAGCATTAGGGCTTCCTCTGTTTTCTCGGGGAGCAAAGAGGGCTGAATGGTTGAATCTCAAGTGCTGAGGAGACTCGTCCTGAGCACATGGCAGGTCAGCCTCCTTGAGGGCCTCCAGGACAGGTGGGGTCTCCTCATCTGCAAAGGTGATCAGGAGTTGGACGTTATCCTTCAGGTCTCTTCCCAATATGGAGAGCATGGAATCAAAGACGCACTTCTGGGCATGAGCTGAATAGGAAGAAAGGCCTGGGCCATGAAGCAGATGGCATCCACGTGGTCAATGCCCCCTGGGGTGGAGAAAAACTCCGGGAGCTGCTTCTCCACCAGTTTGTCTTGCTCTGCATCTCTTGTTCCTCCAAATCCTGGTGTGTCAATGATGGTGAGAGAATGGGGAATTTGGAAACCCTTCTGATGATTCACCACATAGGCTGTGACTTCAGACATCCTACTTCCAGCTTCGCTTCTCTGGGTGGTTTCATGAATGAGTTTGAATCTGAAATTATCTTCCCACTGGACACCCAGGATATTATTGGTCATCCTGTTGATCAGAGTGGTTTTCCCACATACTGTTGCTCCCATCACCAGGATCACTTTGTTGGGCATTTCTGGGTTCTCCTTTCCAAGCTGGTACATGAGACAGGAGGTGGAGGCACCTGAGGGGACTTTCTTCAGAGGAAGGGCAAAGACTAATGGCTTTCTGTCCTCCACCAGGGAACTTTCCTGAAGGAACTGGTGAGCTACGTTTCCTCCATCCTCCTCCTCCAGTGATGTGGAGACCTCCAGCTCCTCGCTGGGGACACTCAGAGCTCCATTATCACACAGGGGCAGACTTCCGGTTTGCAAGGCTTCGGCGGCGGCAGGAATCTGCGATTGTGCACGGTTTCTGCTGCGCTCGCCGCTGGAGTGCCCCCGATCCAGCCAGATTTGGGGGCTAATAGTTACCCCGTAGAGGTAAGTGAAGACAGGGGAGATCCAGCAGGGGTCCGGGGGAATCACAACCCCCCTCCTTAGCTGGCTTAACTCCCTTTTCCGAAAGTGGTGGAGCGGTGGTCAGCAATGGTTGCCACAAAGAAGCTTTCATCCAGAATAAGAATGTGCAGGAGGAAGCTGAGAAAGTGAAAGCTCTGGCTGACCGGGATAATAAGTAGCATTTAAATACCCTGGAATTTGAATTTCAGTATCACACAGGGCCAACACCCATATTCTGTACATCATTTGGGACTTCAGACTTTCAATGGGATAAAATTCTGTTTTCCTCTCTGTCCTTTTTTCATTCCACTACTTCATCCCAGCTCCAGCCTCCACTGTTCTGTACTCCACCTTGTACTGCATGACCACAATTCCTGAGGCAACAATTCTGGGACTCATCCAGGCCATAGAGATGATAG